TGTGTGTGTGTGTGTGTGTGTGTGTGTGTGTGTGTGTGTGTGTGTGTGTGTGTGTGTGTGAGTGGCTCTGTGTCACATCTGTCAGTTTGATGGAGGTTCACCAGCATCCGTGTTGATCCTGGTCCTCCATCACTGTGAGATATGGACGGAGCTGGACAGCTTCAGCTTTGGCACACTATGAGTGTGTGTGTGTTGGTTAAATGTTTTTCCTCTCTGAAGCGGTTCACGTGTGCCGCCGTCGTCCTCTCACTCTCTCACTGTCTCCAGTCTCACTCAGACTCCGTCAATCTCTCTCGGTCTCAGCGCAGGTGCTTTCACTGCTTCTTACGTCCCAGACATTCATTCATCTGCTGTGACTTTTCACTCTCAGCTGGTTTATTAGTTTCTTCTTTCACTTTTTCAAGCTAAACGAGTCCGTTTCTAAAAGCTGAAGCTAAACTTTACTAGTTAGTATAGAGCAAAAACAGTTCGATTTTTATATCGAGTGCAAATCTTGCCGGTAGTGTGCGCTTCATTGTAAAAGAAGTGAGCTTAACTGTACTGAATGTGTGCTTGCAGTGTACTTCAAATCTTAAAACTGTACTTGTGGATAATGAAATAAAAGGCCACTTAAGTGTACTTAAAAGAGACATTTTCATGACTGTTTCTTAAGTACACTATTTAAAAAAATGCATTTTGTAACAGCGTTATTTCAGTATAATTTACATACTATTATAGTTTTTATAATATGTTGCTTCATTTTTCATTTAAAAATTAAAATAAAAATTTGAGTTAAACATTTTATTTCAGTTAACATGTATTTTATTTAAAGTAACAAAAATGTTACTTTATGGTTTTAGTTTTAGTTCCAGTTTAACTATAATAACCCTGCTTTGTAATAATGTCAAATTAAAAGTTTTACTTTGAAGTACATTTTTAATCATTATGTTTTAATCTTTTGTCATGCTTTAAAGAAGTACACTTATTTTGGTGTGTTGACTAACATACTGAAGCACATGTAAAGTATCATAAATTTAACTGTAACATTTTTATTTGACAAATAATACAAAAAAAAAAAAAAAGATATATATATATATACACACATGACATACAAGTTTCAATAGAAATGACATTAAAGTACATTTTAGTCAGTACACTTTAACCATATTTCAAAGACAATAAAAGTAATTATGAAATTACATATAAAGATGTACTTAAGTTTTGCTTAAGTGGATCAATAGCACTCTTAAGTTCAAATAATTGCATTTAATATAAATTTAAACTATAATACATTTTCATTTAATTTCAAATAACATGCAATATAGTGTGTGAAAACATTAATTCAGTTCTCACTTAAGCATATATATATTTTTTAATATATTATTTCCATATTAAGTAAAGTGTACTTCTTTTTCACAAGGGTGTACTTTAGCATATTTATTTCTTATTATAAATCAGGTTTTACGATCCTTTCGAGGCCATTTGGTCACATTTAATGTAGGCGAAACCCACACACTTAAAACGAACACCCAAGCTGGTTTAAGCTCTCTTAATGAGCGCTGTCTCTGTCTGTCTGAGGTGAGGTGTGGCTGGTTAGTCGCCTGCAGTGATGTTTCCAGCCAGTAACCCGATCAGAGCTGCATTGTGTCGTACAGTGAGACAGGATTACTGTATCATTCACACAATAATGAGTAACCGACAGGAGTGTCCTGTTCATAATCACTTCAGCAAAGAGAAAACACACCCTTTCCACCCACATCCGCCCAACCGGGCTGCCCCTGTGCTGCCCGTCTAAAAAGACTAAAGTCAGACGGGAAACAAGCAACACTCGCTCTCGAGGTCTCAAGGTCACCGAAGCAATAATCACAAAGAGGGTTTCATACTAATAATTAGAGAAATGCACTGCAAAAAAATATTTTCTTCATCATCCTTAAAACAAAACACATTTAGCTGAAGAGTAAAATTGTAAGAATAGGAATGAGACTTATTTTTATTATAGTTAACTAAAACTGAAACTAAAATTAAAACTATATATATATATATATATATATATATATATA